TTCTTCCTTTGTATTTTGGGGATCCAACTCTCATTTTCTCATTTTTCCACTTTGGGAAATCAACTTTTATTTTATTTTGCTCTCTAGATTAGGAGCTTATGCTATTTTCCGGGAGATTTTCAGGCGACTTCAGTTTCGTTCAAGTTTCGAGCTTTTGACTCCGTTTTCATCGTCTACGCAATGGGAGATTGAGTATTTAATTTTAAAGTTCTTTACTTCGTTTTTGCTCCGGTTTTACTTATAATTTTCATTAGAGTAAATTGGATTTGATTGATGATGGTGGAAATGCTTGAACTTGATTGCTTGCTTGAGTAGATAGAGCCGTTAATTACTTGTTGATCTCGGTTAGACGATTAGGGTTAGCAATCTAATACTCGTAGCTCGTTTATTCCGTATGTCGATTGATTATCATCCCGTATTGGTTATGGTATGAGACTCCGGTGATCTAGTTTGCGAAATGCTCACCTTTTGATCTTGCTTTCAATTAATTGCTCGTTTTTAAGTGCTCAAGTAGTGTTAATCAACCATCCAATCAATTGTTTAGAATGTTTAGGATTTTATTTTCGATTTTTGTGATTTGGACGATCATTTAGTAGACGAAGCTCCGAATAGCCTTCCTTCGAGATCGACCCGAGTCGGGTAACTCGGTTATCTTTTGCCCATCATATCTATACCAAACAAATGACGCCGTTGCCGGGGAAAATTAATTTTATTAATTCATATCTATTTAATTAATTTTATTAATTCATATTAAAATTTTAATATTTAAAAAGTAGATAATATTGTAATTAGGCAACATTGTGAATTGAAGATGATTTTTTAATTTAATAGTTGTGAACTAAACATTTGTTCTAATGATTCACAATCTGTTTAATTTTTTGACATTTGTCAAAAAAAATTTTATAACAACATTAAAATGCCCTAATATTGGAATATGTAACATTGTAAAGGTGTAATTGTATACGATTTATTGACCAAATTATTTTTCATTGATTGTCAAAAAGTAGTTAGAGAATTAATGATTATTTTAATGTAATTGGAGGTAGTATAAAGAATGATAGCCAATTATGAAGTAGTTGAAAAATAATAAAATAACGAATGATAGTTATAAATATATGAGTTAACCAATAATAAATTTTATAGATAAGTACAATATAACATCGATTGGTACATGAATGATGAATATATACTTTTTGTAGATAAATGCATACGAATAATTGATTTTTATTCAAAAAATATATACTAACAAAATGAGTGAAGTAAAATGAGAAAAAGTAAAATAAATGAATATGTATTTTTTGTTCCACAAATAAGATAATAAAGTAATATATATTATTTATTAGTTTATGTATCAGTGTTTGTATTTCGCAATTTTATGTGTCAGAATTATGGTGCTTTGGAGCAATTCATATAATAACATTTTCTATTTGTTAACAGTTTTTAATTATAATATATAAAACTAATCGTCTCCCAATCTATACTTATATAAAGAGTCATCTTATTTACTAAAATTAGTAGCAAAAAATAGGTCAGCATTTAATGCAGGCCATAAATAGTAGTTTATTATTTTTCTTATTTTTTTCCTTAATGATCCAATTTAATTTATAAATACGCTATAATATAATCGTACAATTTAATTTCTAA